AACTTGTTAATAAAATTTAAGTAAAATCTGTGGATAATTAACAATAAACTACATTTTTTCGCAAAAGCTATAAAGGTCCTTTTATTAAAAAAAAAACTGTGCAACAGTTATTATTTTACACCCTGTATTTGATAAAATATTAATAGCTCGAAAAAGGAGTACACAACTAAGAAAGGAGTACATTTCCAGATATTTTTTTGGGAGTACATTGCAATAAAAAGGAACACGTTTGTTTTGCAAATGCAGTTATCGTGTTCTGCGGTTTCAAAATCAATTTGAAAGTAAAGTAGTCTGATTCGATCGAAGTAAGGCAATACCTGACCGCTTTCAAACGTAAGTAAAATCAAGAATCGAATGGAAATTATTACTGCCTGGCTACCAGAATATAAGTTGACCTCTTTAATATATATTACATTTGCTACTCTGCTTGGAAAACATAATATTTATGCGGTGGCTCAAATTTTAGGTTAATGTATAGTTCTTTGCCTAATATACCTTTCTCCAACTTTCGGTTCAGCCGTTAATAAGTTCACTACGACTCGGCATCAATGAGGGGACAAGAAAAGCAAGAAAATTCTATATACATATGTAAAGGAATTTAAGGTTTTTCAGAAATTTAAAAATTTTTCAAATCATTTTAAAATCTTTTTAGCGGTCTTATTTAGATCAGTATCTACTTATGTATGTAAATTAGCATTTTACATTGACTGCGGATACAAAAATCACGCTGACGTAAACAGAAACATAAACCAATTATATAAAAACTTGCATTACCATCGCAATAAACTTGTGTAAGTAAACAACATTTTTAAATATTTGACATGCACTTTCCTTCCACTTTCATTTAAACTGGCATCTTTTGTCCGTTGTTCATTGTCATTATTATAACAAGAAATTATTTGGGTTTTCCCGTTCTTTATATATACAGATACATACATATGTACATATAACAATCAAAGGCATTCACGCAATAAGACAGTCGTAGATTATTTTGCTTTGTAAGGTCTATGGTTAGTAAGTAGCAAAAGAAATATGCATGTCTTAAAGCAGTCACAATATTCAACTATGCTCGTGTTTATGCAATAGGGGTATCTTGCAAAGCCATTGCACGTAGCACGGATTGCATGGATTGCATGGATTGCATTAAAAAAAAAACTGTGCAACATTTCCTTTCGCTGCAAAATATGCAACGCCGAAACCCATGTATATATTTTGCAAAATAGCATAGTAAGATAAATGCGACCCTGTGCTAGTTGTTTTGTTGTTGGAATTGCTACATATTTCTCTCATTCCTCTTATCTCGCTCACTTCATATTTTTTTTTGCTGTTGCTACCACTTTGCAATGGCGTACTCTCGTACTCCTCGAAATTTGGAATAGTATTTTTGCATTGCCTGCAATCCGTGCATCGTGCAAGACTTCGAGAATACCCCTAATGTATAGAGGTATTTCGAAAGTTTTGAACGGCAGTGCGTATGAGTGATATATTTGACGTTGCGCGGCGGTTAAGCATGTATGTAAGCAGACATATGAATGATATTTATTGCATTTTGCAATGTTGCTGTACAGTATTTTGGCATCCGCATTTCAGTTTGGACTAAAATCAATTCCATTTCATAACAAAAAGTCTCTGTGAGTCTGATTCTAAGCGAGCTTATGAATTTATATAAACTAAAATTAGGGGAGTTGAGGTGAGTTAAGAAGGTGAGTTGAATATAACATAACATTATTTATTTATGAAAATATAGTTCATTCTATAATATAAACCAGTAAGTAGTTTCACACTTTATATAAAGTTCCCAAAAATTCAAAATAAATTTTATCCAAATTTTCAACTTTTTGTTCACAATTTCTATGAAATAAAACGCAAACAAAATTTCAAAACATGTAGCAAATTAGCAAACAAAATTTCAAAAAATCAACGCCAGTTTTTGTAAATTGCACTTGTATATATAAAAAAAAAATAAGAACAACCGCAAAAGCAGTCACTAAAAAAAAATGACATTTTTATGAATTTTCGTTAATTTTATATTAACTGTGAGCTATGATTTATATGGTTTCTATTATAGGATGAACTATATTTTCATAAATAAATAAGGCAAACAATTGGGGTATTCACAACGGTGTCGTAAGTGTCGTATTGTTGTATGTCGTAAACATTAAACGCCTAAAAAATATATTGAGGGGGTGCGAAAAGTACCATCAAAGTCATATTATGCACTCTCGCAGTGCTAAAAAATAGTTGGTTGTGGTTTCAAGTTCCATAAACATTTATTTAAGCTTTTAAAGTTTACGACATACAACAATACAATACTTACGACACCGTTGTGAATCCCTCAAATTTTTCATGAAAATAATTATGAATATTATATTAGAAAAATGTGTACACTGTCATTTGTAATAGTGCCAATTTTGAGTTGATTTTGTCGCTTTGTTTTAAACTAGTTTGAAACTGTCTCCACTTCTGAAGACAGTTGAGAATCTTCGGTGAAAATATCCAGCTACTTTGGCAGAGTTTAAATACAACAGCTCATACAACCTATTTGGATAGGCTTTTACAACATTATAACTTGGGATTTGCGTTATCACAACAGTTCTATTTAGTTGACGTCTTGGCGCTGTATTCTACCCCAACATGATATTCTAACCTTTTCGTGGCATATATTAAACGACAATCATATCACTGTTATAAACTATTCTTTTTGTCATATTGAAGAATTTCCACAACTCACATGTTTAGTTTCGCTTACGCTGCGTGCTATAGACTAATTTTTATACTTTTACTGCGCAAGTTGCTGCGTCGTCGATGAAACTCGAAAACTTTGCTGACACGCGCTAAGCCGTGCGCAAAGCGGCAAAGCAGTCAGGAAGGCAGGCAAAGGTGTGTTCAGGAATAGGATGAGTATGCAAGCGTGTGCAAAACGAGTCACGTTCCCCAAACAAATCTCTGACATGCAGCGGAGTCGCGACAACGTCAGCACAAGCCCATCGCATGCGACAACGGTGCCATATAACAGTATGTATGTATATACAAGTACAACATATAAACTAAATTTTGTCAACAAGAAATTTGCGTACAACTAGCTAAGGTAAACGTGAAATTTTTATAAGGCACATCAAAGTAGAGCAAAATGCCAGCGAATGCAAAAGTTGTACCTAGTTGGATATTGCAATATAGGATGCGTGCAAATTGAAGGTAAACACGCAAACATGTGGGTGCCCAAAATAGGGGAAAACGGGATGTATGTGGTCGTTGGTCGTCGCCGTTGACTTGTATTTATGTGAATTGTTTGAAACTGGTGATGTACCTACCATACATACTTAATACATACAGCCGCGGTCAAAAATGGATGAATGATGTTTCGATTTCAATATTTACGAACGTTTTCAAGCTAAAAGTTTTTGATATGTTCTTATAAAAATATGGTTCATGCTTTAACAAAAACTATTTAAATGAAATTTTCAAACTTTATCCGCAATTACACAAATTTGTATCTAAATTTCGAGCTCTTTAACCAGAATTTTTAGAAATTTTTTGGGTATGCAGTTAAAAAGTTTATAAAATTCTAGTGACATAAGTGCAAGTCTTGAGCGGCTAAAATATCGCATTTATAATAATTATTTTTTTCTGACGGTTTTTACGGTTTTTTCATATAAATATTGAAATTCAAGAAAACTGGCGCTGACTTTTTAAAATTTTTTTTTTTTCAAATGGTCTTGAGCATATGCTTTCCATAAGAAATTTATGTGTATATGGAAAAAAGTGCAAAACGCTGGACATAAATTTTTAGTCGTTCAAAATTTGGACTAAAATTTATGGCCATTTAAAAACTCGACGTAAACTTTTGCTCTTTGAAAAAGGACATACATTTTTTCCCCATTTAAAAAACAGACATACATTTTTTTGTCGTTTGAAAATTGTTCTTTAATTGATTGGCACTGAAAAACTGTATATAAAGTCGTATACCTTTGCAGATTTTTAGTCACTTTAAAAGCTCTACATAACGCTTGGACAAATTTAGAGCTGGACATAAATTTATGGTCATTTAGTAACTGAAAATAAATTTTTGGTAATTTTAAACCGGAAATAAAATTTTAGTAATTAAGAAACTGGCAAAAGATATTATTCTATGGAAAAGGTTTGTAAAAAATCGTTCGTATTTGAAAATTTCTGGTATGTATGTTCAAAACGGGCCATATTTATTTGTGAAGTTAAAAACCGGACATAAACTTCTGGTAACTTAAAATATTCACATAATTTTTTAAACATTTTAGGACTGTATATATATTTTTGGTCATTGAAAAACTGAGCGTATGTTTTAGGTCATTCAAAAACTGGACATAAATGTTGGCTGCACATAAAGTTTTTGTAATTTAAAAACTGGCAGTAAATATTCTTTCGCTGAAACGGTAGATAAAAAAATCGTTTGTAATTGAAAATATCTGTGTATATTTTTTTTAAAGCGTTCGAAAACGCATATGTTTACAGAATATTTTAATTATTTTTACTAAATTTTTCAACTTTCTGTCTGACCATTTTTATATTTTCTCCTTATTGCAATTTTTTCAGTGTAACTTTTGACAACATTTGTCCAAGTATATTTTACATTGCCTCTCGCGCTCTCTATGCTTTTTTAACCCTCTGTCCTTATAGTTTTTGAGTGCGTCAAAGCAACAGTTAGCCACTGAAAATTTGCTCCGTGAAAGCTTTCAGGCATTAAAAAATAACAACACAGCTATCTTGTTCATCGGCCATCGAACAATAACCGTCTTTTGGGCTTTACTTCAGAGCGAATGCCGCAGCAGTAAACGCTCACACGAGACACTCATTCGCAACACTTGCTCTCGCTCTCGTTCTCCTACTCTCTATCTACAATCGTTCTGACGTTAACTGTTCGAGGCCGCTTAGGCCCTGTTGAAGGACTCCACTGCCTGCTTAGCTTAACGGTGCCGATATGAAGTTTCCAAACCAACGACAACAGTTTGTTGCTTAAGTTTCGCCGTTGCGGTCGTGCCGTTCTAAGTGATTGCGGACGGCGGCAGCTCTAAGAACAAAAAAAAAAACAACAACAACAAAAATCGCCCCAGAAAAAGGAGCATAACAATACACAAACACTTTGACCAAGAAAAAGTGGAGTCCATACGCACACTAACTCTCGCAAATGCATGTGAAGCATTGTGGGAATAGATGCGTGTGTGTGAGTGTGGTAAATAGACCTAATACAGGTGTGCGTTGTGTTTAGCACAAAAAGGCGCATTTTTTTAATTTTTTCATAAGTGGAGTGAGCGCATAGTACTCGTGGACACTACCACAAACTAGTGGAGTAGTGAGTATGTACTAAGTGCTAAGGAAAATGCAAAAAATGTCCGCGAGTAAGGCAAACAGTGTAAGAATGTTGGAAAAGGCTAAGCTAGTGCAAGCCTGAAGTGGATTCAAGGAAATATACCTAATAACAAGAAGTGCCATAAGTTTAGTAAGTAGTGAGCAACACTGCTGGAGGACAAGCAAAAGGTAGAAATACCCAAATTTTTGGTATCCTTTCATAAGTGTTTGTGTGTACCACTCACGTCCATATGTGACCCCCATCAAGGCCTGGAAAGCGAGGAAATTATGAGTGGCTGTCTTAGCCCTGATAAAATGAAAGTAAATACTAGATAATTTGTAAAATTTCATTTAAATAAAAATGTGTGTGAAAAATTGGGTATTTGAAAATAAAACAAAAAAATAATAAAAGCGAAACAATTACAGACTTAAATAACAAAATAAAAGAGAATTTGAAATTTTTGTAGAAGAAAAAAAGTACGGAAGTGCTAAGATATGTGAACAGGTGCAAAAACAAGCATAATATCTGTAGCTAAATGCGAAAATCTCAGAAGTTGTTACATTTTTCGACAAAAACGTATAAAACAAAAAAAATAGCATAAGACGTCCGTTCACCCTTTGAAAACCTGATTTTACTAGGCGTTATTCTACTCATAAGAAAACTGTGTGAATTTTTAGAAATTAGTTTTAATTTTTATGCTTTTCCAAAAATTTTTATGATTTATGTTCTAACATTTTAGTTTTTTTTTTTTTTTTAAAAATATGTCTCACATCAAAACGCAAATACACAGAAAAACAAAAAAAAATGTGTATCAAAAATATATATATATATATTACTATAAGGGAGTCTTCACTTAACCCTTTGAAGGCTATAAAAGTCTGACTTCCAAAACCCCAAAATCCTAGAAATTTCCACAAAGATGTTAAATTATAAAAGAAAAGTATTTAGAGTTTGATGTTTTCCAAATTTACGAGTTTCCAGAAATCAACTAAAAAAAATCAGGAGAGATAGTAACAAAAAAATAATTATAAAAAATTCGCAGAACGTATTATTTAAAATATATGTAAACTTTTAAAACACTTGTGCACTCCTTTCGACTGGAGAAGCACCAAAAATTTCTCAGTTTCGAAACCTTGACTAAACTGTTAAAATCTGTAAGAAAAACATTTTCCCAGCTCCAATTTTTTTAATTCAAAAAAAATTTTCCAATGAAATATAATGAATAAAAATTACTAACTCACTGACTGAAACTAAAGTATGTTTGCAAGGCAGTTTCGAAAGTTTTTTTTTACCGAACCTTGGAGTCGCTTTCTTAAATTTTTTGGCAATATTAAATATTTTTTAAACAGCTCTACTAGAATAATCAAAATACGTCCATAACAAAAGTTTACTAATTTTTCTTGAGCTTTGATTTACTGACATTAGGGTGGTACGTTAGGGTGATAAGAACTGAGATCTGCTAGGTAAGTACTAGAATGGGTTACTTGAGGTCGATAAACTTTAGAGCAAAAAAATTATATCCTTTAAGATTTAAGAATGTATAAGGGCGACACCTAAATACGTACGACCAAAAAAATATTTGTTTTCGAAATTGCCTTGCAAAAATACCTTAAACAAGGAAGTGTATGGCGAACTTTTTTCTTGTACGTTCTAATGCACATACCTATATGTAAAATATTAATAGTCGCAAAAATGTTCGACCACGCTCCCATACTTCCATGCTCGTTTAAAGGAGCTTACCTTGCTAATGGCATAAGTGGCTTAAAACATCACCAGTGCTTGTACATAACTGCACACATATGCGACATGACTCGAAAAGACATGTGGCAATATGCATTGGTGATTATGCAAATAAATTACCTAATTATATAGTAATTAATTGTGACGGGTCGAACGAGAATGTTGGTGCAGTGAAGCAAAGCTACGTGCCGAATTAGTGTACGCTTGTACACAGTACAAGTAAACACTCATCGAACAGAAAATGTACACAACAAATACATATACATAATAACATTGACGTCCATTGTTGTGCCATTCCCAACGGTATTGTTGTTGACATTTTCAAATGTGTTAGCCAAATTAATATTGAAAAGAACACCATTAACTAGCATTTAGGTTCATACGCACTAGGGCTTTTCCATAAAATATTTACCGGCTGCCGTTGTCGAGTTACTAGAAGTTCGTATTACCTTCTGTATCACGCTTTTTACATAGCAAAAAATGCTTATTACTCCTTAGTTGGAAAGTATAAGATCAAAAAATTCTAAAAATATTAGAATAGTTAAACAATTTTATTCTTGTGAAGGATAAATTCTCTACGGGTGCAACTACATGAATATACAGTTTCTATTTATGGCGGAATTAAGGAGCTATTATATAATAATATTACTTAATAAATTTGATGTTCAGGTCAGCGCTGGCTTCCAGTGGGTCGTTCTGCGCTCATGTAAGGCATGAAGGCAGCAACATCTGGAAAACTGATTCTGTGAACCATCATCTCAGATGCGGAAGAGTTTGCAGAAGGACGAAATTATCCGTGTTCTATTATTAACTCTACATGAACCTCAGACTAACGCTATCTTAAGATGTTTGCTATAATATCAAGCAGCTTCCAGTTACTAGAGGCGCGGATGAAAATTATCGGTTGCTTACTTTTTTCTTGATCACTTATGCATACTTTCTCATCAGACTGCTGAGCTGCTTTGACATCAACTATATGGAAGGTACACGGAAAAAATAGAGGATTCTTGTAGAGGATGTCCAATTGTAAAACTGTGGCAATCAGATGAAATTCAGGTTGACTCACCGAATGCTGGGGGAAAAGCTTCAAACTGCTGCAAAACTACGCGCGAGCTTCTTAGACTGTGACATCAGCTGTTTGCGGACATACATATATACATACATATCTGTATACGAAATCTAATATCTTCGTATAAGCTTTGATAAGACGCTGAGTTGGAACTACCAATTAGCTCTTAGTATGGCCTCGCGAACCATGCCGGCCTGTAGAAGACATTTTTAGCTGACATGGGTTTTCAGCTCAAAGTTTATAGAGCGGATACGCCACATGGTTGTTCGTGCCGCTGTGTCATTTTGAGTCCAAAAACATAACAAGAAACGGCCAATCAATGTTTAAGAAACTTCAAAGGTTAACACCGCTCTCGGCTCTAGTATCAATGAGAATTTGTTCAACCACGGGTCTGGAGTCGCTCCCGATATGGACTTAGCTACATATTTTTATTCACCTGCGAATAATAAATAAATTTCCGTCGGTAATTTTCATAACTGACATAAAAAACAAGTATTGGACCTGGATCCCAGATGTAGACAGTGGTACACAAATATTTCGAGAATGGAAAATAGAAGAGGTTCTATCGACTAGACTCGAAGTTATGGTCCTCAGTGTTTCTGGTGGAGGTCTTAGCAATGCTGACCTTGCTTGAGGCTTTTAATTATTCAGTCGGTAAACTTTGGCAGTAAGTATTGGGAATTAAGGATACACTGACTTTTGAGGAAAACAAGACCTCGGAATACATACTATGCGACTGGCCAGTGTAGACCAGACCAATAGTAATGCATTTTACTTCATTCATTATAGTAAATACTTTGAATATAAGAAAAAAGTGTACTAAGCACCGCTAGCCTTTAGTAGGATAGCTGAATGAATTTTGTGCTCCCAAGGGTTGCAACTTCCTTATTGGGATACAACAGATTTTCCTTATTCCTCAAATGCTTTTTTGATCTAAATTGTGATTAAATCGGGGACAGAAAATAACAGTTATTCTGATTTTTTCGCTTTTTCGGGTATATATTGGACTGAGTCGGTCCCCATATGATAGAAAATAATCTAGTAGGGTTCGGGATCGGTAAGCATCGCTTACTAAAGTTGTATTTGATGGGATAGAATTTGAACTTAGTTGCTTAAGGAGGCAATCTAGGGTGAATGGACCTGAGTTATGTTTAGGAATCGCCAAAGACGAAAATTTCTGTGATCATAAAATCCTCTTAAAGGAAGCTACCAAATTATGGGGGGTAATTGCAAACTTATATTCGCGATACAGTCTGTTGTAACGGGTGATTTTTTAAGAGCTTGATAACTTTTTTTTTAAA